AAAAATCCCCGAAATGGCCGGCCAGAAAAGAACCTTGTCGCAAAGGTGCTTGTCGCAAGCCGAGGAATTTCTGTTACAAACCTATGTCGCGGAATGGCCGCCAAAGCCTGTTACAAACCCAGTGTTCTTGATTCACAGCCATATAAATCCATTGCACTTATTCTGCTAATGGGCCTGTTTTTTGTTATTCTTCTTTTCAAATACAGGTTACCACGTCTTCTCTCTGTTGGTGGGGGTACCCCCTTGACTGTCACAGTGGGGCCTCCCTCGTCCATTTTATAGGGAAAAATGCGCTTCTTATAAAATGGTTAGCCAGCTCTTGCTTACTCATTGTTGGGGGGTGGTGGGAACGTCAACTTATGGCATGGATTTCTGTTTTACAGGGGGGGCGGGTACCCCCAGCTATTCCGTAACAGGGGATCTGAAGAAGGGCGATGCTCACGCTGCATCCTTGCTGCAAGATTTTGATAAGCTTCTCGGCTTGTAGCGCGGCCAATGCCACCAGGGCCATAAAAGGTCAGGTCGTCGTGGATCCACTTCCCGCTCCTGCTGAGCTGTTCAGGGAGCTGCCTTTCTGCTGGGTTGAAGCTGGGAAAATCTTATAGCATGAGTCTGACAGTTTCTGTGCCGAAGCGGAAGCATAAAAGAAAAGACTTTCCGAACCCTCAGCTCGCACACTTCCATTGGACTTGATAAGTCTTTATCTTCTGTCTTCTGCGATGATAAATGAAAGGTTGACCGTTTCGAATTCTGAAACTCCAACACAGCTCAGCTCCTCTCGCTGTTAACCCACTCGTCCAGGGCGGCTTCAGCAGCGAGTTTTGCTTCCGTGCTATTCCGGCCAACCACCTGAAGGGAAGTCGTCAACAGGGAATGTCTGAAACCCGACATCCCCGGCATTTCTAATTAGAAATGGCCTTGGAGATTGCGATTGGCGTCGTGTAGTTTTCTAGCGAGGGGCTGGTGTAAAGCGAAAAACTTTCGGGATGGATCTTCTCTCAAGTGCTGATTTCAATCCACTGGTAGGCATTCGGCCCGGCCCCTGCAGAGTTTTCTCGTTGGTGCTTCGCTTCCGTACATCTTGACACATTGTGACATGTCATGTCTAGCATCCTGGTGTAGGCCAGTCCCGAACCCAGCTGATTCCGAGCCAGGATTTGGAAAACTCATGCCTTCAAGGCCCCTATAATTTCATGATTCTTCAAAAGAGCGACCGTACCAGGAAAACCCTGCCCACCATGACGGAAAGCGGAGCGGGAACTCCATCATTGGCAGCTGCTGTAAGTACCTGACATTTGCAAAAGGGCCCGAATGGCTCAGGTCAGGTTGCGCATCATTTCCCTGCAGTGCATGTCGCGGCTGCTACGTCGGGTAGAGTAGAGGTAGGGCTGAGCACAGATTGCGGGAGTACTGCATTCCAATTTCGCATGACTTTTGCAGGTATGGCTATGGGCCTTGCATAGGTCTTCTGACGGATGGGGGCGGAGTTGAATGAGCGGTGGCCGGGAATCCGACTGCCCATTGGTCATGGAGAGGCAAGCACAGCCGACAAACGCTCTCAGCAGCTTTCGGGTTTCCGAAACCCCAAGAATTCTGATCCCTTCCCCCTAATTAATTAAACCCCCTCAATACAAAATACGGGATCCCCTGAATTCCGGATTCTGTGAAATCTGCCTCCAAGACTACCTGTAAAAAGGCCAGGACTAAAGTTAATTACGCCTCGGATCCTCTGAATTAAAGGGGGTCCCTAGCATGACTCTTAACGATTAGGGAAACCCATTGATTTCCTGGTTTTGTTTTCGAATGGTTTTTATACAGGAAGCTATATCAAAGTCTAAATGCAAGTTTACTTGGTATATTACGAGTTTGGTCCTGTTGAACTATACTTTAATTGAATTCAAGCGGTTGTTTATTCGATTTAATCGACTTGTATTCGATTATAAATAATTAATTAGATCCAATACGATCCTGTTAGATATCCCCCTAATTCATGTTCGGGTCGTGCGATAAATTCCCCCCATACTATTAAGTACGGCTGGGAGTACATACATTGGGAGGGTGGGGACGGCGTTTAATGTTAGGGGGAAAGGATTACAGCAAATATTGCGAGCGTGGGATAGGGCCTGGCTCTCTTTGGAAAGCAGTTCAAGTCTTGTAGAGGAGCGGTTGGGTTCGTGGTTGAGTCAGTCCATTGGTAGATGGCCAGCCAAAGCAAAGCTACTTTGTTGCCACGTCACTAAACCTTCAGGCAAGGCCGCCGGAGGCAGTACAGGGCGTCCCACCTGCCGAAAGAGGTCTGCCCAGTCGATCATCATCAGATTCCTCAGGAGGTGTCTACAGCGCTTGCTGCGAGTTCGCTGGCTTTTGCTACGGTGAAGTGATGAGGTCAATGCCTTAGCGGTACCCGATGCAGCCAAAGCTCCAAGACAACAACCCTTGGCCAGACTCCGTGCGGCGGAGGAGATAGAAGTCTGTCACTCTGAAATACACCCAGGTATTCTGAGCAGGGATTCCAAACAGCTCCTGAGACCATCGCACGTTGCCGTAAGAAGTCGTGGTCGCGTGCTCGGCATCTCCAAAAAAAAGCATCTGTGAGAACACTGATGGGTGGAATGCGCGCCTGAAGGGGATAGGTCGGAAACCCTCTCGGTCAAAAGGGCCATGAGGGCAAACAAACGAAAAACCTTGAGCCATCACGCCCAGATGTACCTCTTCCGGCTCTTGTCCGGGAAGCTATGTGCGAGGCCAGTTGGTGCAAAAGCCCAAAGATTGGGCTTTATTGTAACCGGTGCCGTGACCCTCTCACAGGACGTTCACTAGCACCTACATCCCACCAACAACCAGCATCAAATGCAAGAGCATGAGCAAGAATATTAGGGGCAAGAGGACCAAAAAAACATGACAGCAAGGAACCGGTCACAATCCCTGTGTTCACGACCTCCCCACCCCCCAGGGCACCGGAACTGGGTCTCTTCGCCATAAACCCATTTGGCCAGGCCATGCGTGTTGGGAAATCCGATGGTCTCATACCTCACCAACTCCAGCTCTTGGGGGCGGGGGGGGACGGACCCTTACATCTATTTCCAGCAATGAAATCTTTGGGGCTTCAAGCAGTGGTGGAGCATAAGGCTGGCTGCAATGAGAACTACAAGTGTAGCAAAGCTAGCCCGTGCTTTGCACATGTTGTCAGTCGAGAAGGTCCACTCCGCACTAGGGCTCTACTAGCTTCTGTTCGACTCGGCCCAGGATTTCTGGAAACACGCTCAGCTGAATCTGGTCTGCCAAGCCGAACCCTTAAGCTAAAGCAGATCTCCGCTTCTAACGCAAGGCGTCCTGGATACAAGCCAGACTCTGCAGCCAAACACGAACAAAAGCATTGCGCACCAGCCAAGCAGCTCAAACTCAGGTGCCAACCACTTTGAGACTGCTTCGTATTTCTGTTCCTGAGTCGGAAAGATTCAGAAAAGAACAGGTCCTCTGGCGCGAAGCTTCAACATGCGAGCCCGCAAACACGCCCACGAAATAAGGGCTGAATTGCTGAACGACTTGCGGCTACCAGCGTGGCAGGACTGCACGGGGCTGGACCAACTGCATCTGAGATTCACGAGTGACAAAGGCAGCTTGCGTCATTAAATACCAGTCAAATTCGCGCACGACGTGCTTTGCCAGCGGTTCATCATCGAAAGCCGGCGAGAGAGGTATCGAACATGTATGAGGCTCCTTGAGAGACAACTCAATTTCAGACTTACAAGCTACAAGCATGACACCAGCCCTGCACCAACTCCACCAACCCGTCAGGAAAGTGAACAAAAAACATGATACGATGATACGTTGCAACTGCACCCACCTCCCAAGTGAGGGCGAAGGACACTTCCCTGACAGCAGTGACTTTGGTCCCGACGGCAGTTCCGACAAGACCACTCAGGATTGAACTGCACACAGCTACGTAGGCAACCTGTCGCCAGGACACCAGTCGCCTGAGCACGAAGGTTTGCGCAAGAAAAATGTCTTGGCCGATGTTAGCGTGAAGAACTGGGCCGAGGTTTAGCTGTGCAACGTTCAAACTCTACTCCATGGCAATGGCCGCTTGGGATTCAAAAGGCGCCTCCTAAATCCGGTAAAAGTAAAAATGCATGCCATGCCGTTAAAGAAACTGCTGCGGCTCGTTTTCAGCTAGCTGGCGGTAGCCATGTTCTTGGTCGCGTTGCACACCATGTGCTCTTGACGCCATACACCTCTCAGATCTGCAGCGGTGCCTCAGCCTCAGCCTCAGCCGCGTCGCCTGTCAAAATGCACGCGCACATTCAAACAACACCCTCAGCACCACTAGTGTAATCAAAAATGGCTTGTATACACAACCGCTTTGCCTGGCTGGGCCCTTCGGAAAACAAGAGGCAGGCGACTTGGGCCACCAGCTGCGGCGAAAACCAAACCCTCAAACGCGTTGCGACACAGACTCCACATATAACAATAACACATTCCTCACTTTTTGATACGAGCTCTGTGCCAAGTCTTCAGCCTTGCTATCAACAGACTGGTCCCCACCAAGCCCAGAAGCCCGCATTTCAGACCTCAGTGCAGGATCTTTTGCCCTTGATACCCAAGACGGGGGACGCCTCCCGCTGTGAAGTTGAAGCGGGCGAGGCAGCGCAGGTCGCCTTGTTGCCAGTTTCTGCAGAGAAGGGGCTCCAAACGCTTTTTCGCACGATGCGCGCACAAATGCAGATGTCTCAGGATTCTTCATCACAATGTACCCTGACATTTCTAGCCAGGTTTCCAGTACTTGGTTTTCTGGGAATCCTGGATGTCTTGTCTTTGCTGCCCTTGGAGACATGAGCCGCGTTGAGCCGCACTTGCTGGCATGTCTAGAGCAAATCACCCAACATTTTTTACATGTAAGGTCCTAACCTCGGAACTCTAATTTACGGGCCCTCCGGGTTTCCTGGGTCCGAACTGCGGGCCCTTAATTGGGGCTTGTAGGGTTTTATATGAGGAGGGCCGTAGTTCTTCTCTTAGGTTATGTAAGAAAAATTGGCACCATCACGCGCCATACCAGTCCAAAGCGCAGATGCGGCTCCATGGTGCAAGTTTCGCGCGCGGGATCTTATGAAACTTTAGCCCAAAAGCACACAACATGTAAGCAACCTGCGTTCATACCTGCAAATTCCACATGATTTCCCAGTACCAAACCCACGTTACCTTCCTACCAACTACCCAATCAAGCCTGCGCTGCTGTTTGGACTGCCGCTTCTTGTCCGAGTGGGCCTAACATAGGCAACTCATTCATAACGTGGGGCTCCTGTTGCTCTGCAAGGACCTTGCAAAGGTGACCTGAACAAAACATACGACTACCTTGGCCTCCTGATCAAGTTGAGCCCTGCTTGGGCTCGTCTATCTTCTAGACCTGGACACAAGTCTGTGCCCCGAACCTGTTTGCTTGACTTCGCTTACCAAAGCAGAGGCACCTTATCCAGAGACTTGCAAGGCCAGTCTTTTCTGCTCCGTTATGATACTTATGTCAGTAAACTTTTCCTTCCCTACTTGCAACAGGTTCAGAACAGTCGGAGCGATGGGATCATGGACCAGCGGCCTTCTCTGCCCGCACTGGCTCGCATGTCAAGCATGGCGTTACCTGAGGCCGCAGGAATGAATTGTAGCCTCATAAGGCATTCAAAAGGCATCACGAGTGATGTGATCCTGCTGCCACATAGTCTTGACCCACTTACGTGCCGCAGCTGGCTAGTAATCAAAGCGTGGATGCATGATTCGGCTTCAAGTGTTGAATTGGACTTGGATACCGACTCTAGGTTAGCAGCGCCAAGAACCTCTATTCAACTTAAAATGTTATCAAGCTTGCTTACTCTTATCGTTTTCCCGTCAATAACACGAATTACGGCGTTATTGTCTTATCAACGCTTATCGTTTCCAATATCAATCTGCACAGGCCGATAAATTGCGTCAGCTCTATATCATTTAGTATAAATCCATAGAGACTCAGCCCCGGGGGGCCGGGCCTGGCCAAGCTGGCACCTGGTTTAGGGTTTCGGTTTTAGCCGTCGACTTCCGCGCCTAATTGGAGCTTGGCGGCTAAGCCCCAGGCCCCTGTGGGCCCGGGCCTCAAACCCCTGGGCCTGGGTCCCAAATCCCTAGGTTGGGGTTGCTGATCAGGGCGCCCACCCACGCCAGGCTCTCATCAAGGATTGGATAGGTCTGCAACAATAATGCAGTGTTGGTCCTGCACAGTTCCGGCAACCTGGCTTGTTGCGCCGATTGACTTCCTACGCAGCAACTGAAAACAGCAAAGCTGCTGAGTCCCGGCCGCCTAGCTTGGACTAATCTTGTTGCGCCTATTGGTCTCGCGCCAGCCGCTGAAAACCCTCAAGGTTTAGACGCGCGCATCGCACAGCAGTGCAGGCACGGCAAATAATGTCCTGTTCGGTTCCCTGCAGGTGAGGGGTCGGAAAGACTCAGCAGTCGGGCACAAACGGCCTCTCCGCGTCACCACTCCTGACGCAGTCACTATCTTCTTCAGTCGCAATCGCAAAGTACTACATCCAAGGCTGTCCCCCCTGAATTCTGACTCTGTCACACTGGGTGCCACAAACAGTAGAATCCACAAATTCGCACAAGGTTTAGGGTTTAGGAATTCACGATTTCTCCGCCTCTGGGTCGGCGGACTGAGCCGGAGGCTCTTAAGTCGCAGCTCAGCCAAAGCTACGACACCACGAAATTTTCCCCTCGTACCAGATCAGGAGCATGGGCTGGCAAGATCTCTGATCACGCTTGCATGCGTCCAGAAGCTTCTGACTGCAACTTCAGAAACTGCCACATAGCTTCGCTGTCTGAATGTGTTCTGAATCTGTACAGCCGTCAAAGAAACAGCTGGCTGTGTCTTCCTGTTGGCGCCTTGGCCTAGCTGCAACCACACCAGACGTCTTTAATTAGCCTAAACTCCAAGCAGCAATACCCAAGCCCCGGGCCACTGACTGGAGCCAACATGGCAGGAACATGGTGGGTCTCTTGGACTCTACCGATACTGTGAACCTGTCCGTGGCTACATGCCTAGATTTCAGTCTGGAGCTGGTCCCAAACTGGAACTCAGCATCATGACAAATGGGCTCGCAACAGGCGCAGGCGATGAAAAAATGTTGGACCATGATCCCTTAGTCTTGCTTGAGCACCTGAATCTGCGACGTGTTGCTGCTGCTTGCTTGCAGCACGGACTGGGCAAAACAAGCCACTATCTGGGGCGAAGCAACAGTAACACAACACCACTTGAAATTGGAGGCTTGTCCAACACATGCTCTGTACTGTCTTGCTCCTTGCACTTTCCGTCATGCTGCGGTGCGAAGCTTGCATCAGATTTAAGGAATTTGAGGACGCAGCGAGAGGACGATTGAAGCCATCCACAGGTGGTTGGTTTACAGGTGAGCTGTTGCAATAGTCAACCTGCAAGGACTTCCATAAGACTGCTAACTTCCATGGAGAGCTTATGGGAGACTACCCACCTGTAAACTACCCACCTGTAATGGGTTTCTGCGATGCATGACTTTTCTCCATAGGTCGTGGGGCTAGCATCTGTGAGACCA